ACAGATAAATAGCCACCGCTTGCAAGATCCTATCTGATGCATCTCCTTCCAATGCCCTCAAACCCGCAGTCGCCTGCAAAGTACACAAACTCAACGTAATTAGGACCCAAACGTCAGTTAACACAACCACACACACTGAGTTAGTGTATGTTTGGATGCCGGTTGGAAGAACTAAAGTATTCCTGAAACAATAACCTCTTCTTGACTTTGTGCACTGAAATTCAGGAATGTGAATTAGAATTTTCCAAGAGGACGGTTCCAACTTCTATCTAAACATAGGGTCACTAAATATAAATTTAACAAAAGAAAAAAAGACGCACCCCAACTCGAACTATTGTCTTGGATCGCAATTCACGAGGAACAACACTCTCAGCTTTATCCAGAAGCGGAACCAAAGATTCTGCTGCCTTTTTCGGATCTTGAGCGTACGCACTCAAACCCGGTTTAAGCTGCAAAATAAAAAAAAACAACTGAGACCTAAAACGCAAGCAAATCATAATATAGTAACAATAATAATAATTAAATTATTATAATAGATTATAACTATCAGGATTTTATCGCAATCGTTGATAGTATGGTAAATTGAGGACAAACGTGACCACAACTGAAGTAACATGGGCAAAACTTCAACATTATGGCACAAATTGCACGCCGAACCGTTTAAAATAGTAATAATATTAATTTGCTTTGTTTTGACCTGAACGAAAAGCTCGAGATCTTTGCCAATGTGAACGAGATCTAGGTTTTGATCGAAATGGAAGACGTGGACACGGCTGCCGGAGCTGCCGGCGTCAAAGATGACGGCGTAGGAACTTCCGGATTTCTTGTTGGGGGACATTTTGCGGTTGACGAGAGCGTAGTCTCCGGCGGACTCGTTGGAGGAGCTGGACGGCATGACGTAGAGGACGAACACAATGAGAAGAAGTGGGATCGCGACAACAAGCAGAGTCCCTCGGAACCGGTAGATCTTGTCGGAGAGTGACTCCTGGCGGCCGATGCGCTTCAGCATTTTGCTGGACTCGAACTCCTGCGAGTGCTGATCGGCGGCGTGCGAGGGCGGAGAATTGCTGCTGGCCTGGCCGTCAAAGAGCTCAGCCGAGGACGGCGACCTGTACCGGATCTGACCGTTGGAGGAGGCGGCGGCGGGCGGAGCCTTCAATTGCTTGGGATCTTGTAGCGGCTCCAGCTCTGTGTCTTGGGATTCTCAACCAACTAATTGGAAAAGAGGAAAACGACGTCGGTGATGGATCCAAAAACGAAAGGGACGCGAAAACGGCGTGATGGTGCCCGTTATATTGTGCCAATGCAAAAAGCACGTTGCGTCTCTGCAACTCAACACTGAATCTCTCTCTTTCTCTCTCTAACTAACTCACTCGTGTAGTGAGAGAAGAGGGTGTCAGTGTCTGTGTTGTTTGTGCGGGAAAAATGGTTAAATGCTGTGTAACTGTAAATTGCAAAGGAAGAAAAGGTTTCTGAGTTGGCCTTGCTCGCCCCCCGGGTCGGACTCGGTCTGAGAAAAACCGAGTCGTTATGTTTCTAATCTTTCCGCGTTTTCTCTGTGCCCAATGTATAAGTATTAAGTATTTTGTATGCAAGTGTATAAGGCTACGTGTCCTGTACCATACGTAGGAACGAGAGAAAGAATGAACTTTCCACGTGCACATTCTTCCTTTAAAATCACTATTTTAGTATATCCATTTTCCTTTTCTGTTAATTGACAGCTAATTATAAAATGTTTATTATCGTTATATATTTAATTTTAAATGCGAAAACTGTATACCAAATAAGAGTGCATTTAAATAATGTGTTATTTACATTTACAATTTCACAAACTACACATTTAAATAATGTGTTATGAATAATAAATAGAGTTAACATAATTTGTAATAAGGAAATACGATTATAGCAAGAAAGTTAAAAAATTTGTATAATAAAAGAAAAAGAAAACAAGTGCAAATTACTAGAAATCCTAAGAAATGTTGTTATATTTTGTTCTAAGCAAAAAATTAGCACGTTTGAGGAGAAATTAAAACTGACAAAAAAAAATACAGGCCTTAAAGCCAAAGTGGGTAGATATATAATTACATTAAATATCATCGGTATTATTGTAAAACCTTACTTTTATTATACAGGGTACTAATGATGTATGTATACCAAACTGGGGGCAAAAGCGTATGTAGAATTGTACGTATACAAGAAAAAACAAATAAATAAAAAATAGTTGTTTACACTTAACACCACCGACGCAGTGTGTCATGATAAATGGGGCGAATATAAAATGATAACGAATGAATTATTGTCTAAATCAAGTTTTAAAACTTTACCAAACTTTACCAAACTTATTGTCCAAAAAAAAAAACTGCTCTGTACCTTACTAAACTTAGGTTCCGATTCAGATCTGAGTCAACAATTTAGAGCAAAAAACTCGGCTAAAAACACTTATGTTACCAGCAAATAATTCGGCCATAAAGTATTATTATTCCAAAATTATCAAAATTAAAATAGGAGTTTGATCTCTTGCATTTAATATCTACGTTAAGAAATTGGGTTTCTATAGGTTAAAATGCAGAGATAAGTACGATTTAAATTTAATACTTTAACTAATTACAAAAAAAATTATTATATTTTAAAAAATGTTATTTTAAAAATTTATGTCCCAAAAATGTGCTTTAAAATAATTAAAAAAATTATAGTATACTTTTCTCAAAAAAAAGAAAATTAATAACACGCTTATTTTCTTAGAAACTTGTCAAGTCACCAATTAGTTACAGATTGGGAACAAGTTTCATAACAATTCCAATTTGACAATATTAACATGCTTTCATTTGCCTTTCTTACCCATATTATTATTTAACTTTTTTTGTAAAAATAAATAAAATAAGTCTGACTTCATTCTGATTTATTTATGTTTGAAGAAATCAACGCATTACCAAACCAATATCATTTATATATAAAACAGTTTCAATACTTTATACTGAAGACAAGTTCACTTACCAATTACGTATACTATACTCTAAACTATTAGAGGTTTCATCCTTAATTAAAAACAAAAACAAAAAAAACAAAATCAACGTAAGAGAATAATATCCGTATACTGGAACGAAAATAGATCAAAAGCTTTCTCAATAATATTGATTTAACTCCACCATTATTTTTAGTTTAACCTCAATAATATTGCGAACTCTACATGAACAGAGGGGTTGTCAAGCCTATGTATCATTAAGTTTGTATTGATGCTCTATAATTTAGATTAGTTAAGTTGTACACTATTAGAGGGTAAGGTACACTTCTAGGGTTAAGCTATGCACTTTTACTAATAAGTCACCTTAAGTTTATATAATAAATAATGTTAAGTATGTTTAATCAGTTTGCCAATTTAAATTAACTTAAGTTGTTCTAAATTTAAATATATTTAAGATATTATTTATTAGATGTATTTTGAAAAAAAAAACTATTAAACAATTAAATGTTAGACAACAAATAAATAAAAGAATAACAATATATGATTAGTGAGTGTGTTAAGACAAGATCATATAGAAAGATTAGATTGTCTAACAACTCGAGTTTTGAAGTTTAACAACACTCAACGAAATATTGGTTATAGAATGTAAAGTCTAACATAACATGTGTTAAAAGATAATACCGAATAGAACAAATGTTTATCAGATACAATAATCTAAATAGAGTAATGAATGAGATAAACATATATAAAGAATATAATACTTGAAGTAAAATTTGTTTAAACGGAAACAACATTTGAATTATCCAAACATGTTAAGTCACTAAGTGTATGACAGAACAAACCATATAAGATATTTGTATAACGCACTAAACTTCATCACATGATATATTGAATACTTGATATCTCAAACGCGTCTAAATCATAGAAACAAAAATGACAAACGCTATAGAACTCCTAACAGAATGTCTAATTATTATAGCACTTGAATGAAATGAAAAAGTGTTTGAACGTTAACCTTGCTATGCATAACTAAACGATGAATTATAACTTAGACAATGTTATGAAACATGTTTAAAGACTATATCATCTAAAACATCAAAACACTCTGTCTTCCAACAATGCTTTTATCATATAATGCTAACATGTGTCAAAGTGCTTTAAACACATAACATGCTTAATGATCAGTTTAAAACATTTAATGTTGTACGAAAAAGTGTTTCTTTACTTGCATGCTTTGTTCTCGTTATCTGTGTAGGAAATATCAACACTAAACTTTATTCAAAAGCTCTGCACAAATAATAGAAAACGTTAAGAAATAATAAGACGTTCATGAAATGTGATCTTAAAGTTTTTAGCTCTGGAAGGTCGTACAAGCTACTCATGAAAGAAAGCGCTGATAAAACATTGTCACTCTAAAACATAGACCTAAGTTTGACCAATTACCTAAAAAGGCTATGAAGTCCATCTAGAAGTTAACTATGTGTCCATCAGTCATCTCCTAAGAAAGCGATATAAAGAGGATTCACATGAGAGATGTTACTGAAAATTATTGAAAAATAAGAAAAGAGAGAATATATACAAAAAATATCATTGAATGCTTGCTATGCTTTACCTCAAAGCTCATATTGTCTAAAGGGTCTCATTCCAATAGAAAGAACTTCACAAGGTCTTATATTTCATTGTGTTGTATTTATTCTCTATTTCAGAGTTATATATTTAGAAGTGAATTAAAACATTTGTATTGTTTAATCCATTTGAGTTAAATGTTCTACACAGTTGTGTAAAATGCACAATCGTACAAGTTGATAAAAACCCAGATGTCTCAGGTACTCTGCAAGAGGATAGTTGAACAAATAAGATTGATAGAAAAATTGTTAGGTTTCTGGGTTAAAAGGAACCTAAAACGTTTAGTTCTACACCCAAAAACACCAGTGTTATCAACACCCAGCACTGGAAACGTATCTATTATTCCAACGCAAGCAGAGTACAAGATAACAACCAAGGGAAAGTCTCTCTTAATAGATATTCTCTATTAACACAGACTCAGAATCGGACCTTTCATTATGTGCTTAAGAAGCAAATTTATTTGTCAACCATACCTCACTACATTGGTGGACCTTCTAACTTTAAAACATGAAAAGCAAACCAATTATTATTTAAATTGAAGTGAGAAAGGGAAAACCCCAACTTAGACAGAGCTTTAACAGTCCTCTGGCTAAAACGAAAAAATAGTTGAAATTAAAGATACCCTCTTCTTCCTCTTTCTCCTTAATGATCTGAGATTTGGCTTCTTCAAAGATGAGCGGTTCGTAGGTTGCAATATAGTCTTCATCGTCTGTATACCGGTTCTTCACCTTCACGAGTGTCGACTTTGCAGTCCCTTTCTTCTGCTCCTGAAAACAGCAAATTCCAAAAGACATTAACAAAGCAAATTAAAAAGAAAAAAACACAGAAACAAAAGAAAAATAGTAAGGAATAAAGTGAATTGCCTTAGATTCCTTGAGGAGAGGAACGTAGTTCCAACTAAGAATAATCTTGTAGAAGCGGCGGATTACGGATTCTTCCTGAAGCTTTTCCTTCTCCACTGCCATAACCACCGATGGAGGGAAAAGGGAAGCAAAGCTCCAACTGTAGTGGAAATACAAGCTCTCGCTACTGTGTCCACCTTTTCTATACTAATATATCATATACCTCTATTTAAACGAAATAGGGAAAAAGTGATTTAAACGGTGATTGAATGAATAGTCATTGGTAGAAAGAAGAAAATCATGGTTGAGAACGCTCTTTGTGAGCACGGCTGGAAATGGCATTTCGAAGGGATGACATGTTTGGTTTTGGAACTCTCCTCTGCAAAGGATGGACCCATAGTTTCTTTCTGCATTCTACATATTAGATTTTATTCTCATACTATATGATTCAGAAATATACACTAAATTTTTAAATTCGTAATTTATAACAAATTTATAGATTGTATCATTTTATAGATTGTAAATTGTATAATTTAATGTATTTATAAATTATTTGAAAACAACAGTTTCATGCCACTAATCTTTATTTGAAAACTTCAAGTTAAAATAGAAAATGAAATTGGACAGTCAAATTAAAACTTCAAGTGAGAAACTTGTGGATAGAAATAAAGCTTGCGTAGACAAATTATTGGTATACTTTAAAGCCAAAAGAACATACGAAGAACAAGTGAGAATAGAAAAAAAACAAAGATATTGTGAAAGGTACCATGAACGAAAAGAGAAGAAATTAAGGTTCAAGCATTAAAAAGATGTAAAGGAACTGCTATATATACCTTTAAACTTTCAAGTAGTTACTATTAACATAAAAAAAATGTAAGGACAAAAATTCAAAACTAAAGGACGTCACGGCTATTCTATTTCCTCACGAAAATCTTCTCTGTTACAAAGATATTAGAAGTAAATTGTTTAAAAAAAATGTAAACCAAAAAGTAGTATTTCCTTTATATATTATGTTCCAGAAGTCAGATATAAAAATATCATAGATGTTAGGTAACCTTCCAAAATTAGCTGCTTAACTTCTCTGTAAAATGGAACACCAACGTCTTGTAAATTTTATTTGCATTAGTCCGGGAACCATGTCTAGAGAATTTACAGCAAGGTACTATGACAGTTACATGAAAAAGTTGCACAATAACATGAAAATTTAATATATCTTACTAGACTCACAAAATTTAGTCGCCACAACATCAAAGAAGAATACTCAAAAGAGTAAACAAAATGGTTACATGATAAAGGAATTGAAAACAAGAAAGCGACAGTTATTGGCACCAATAGTGATCCCAATTAATCGTATTAATCTATGACTTTCTATTCTGCGGCTACAAAAGTTGATGTTTCCTCTCTATATGTAAAATCGCCTTCTTCATTGGACTACTCGGACCCAACCCACAAGTATTTAATCATTGTGCTAAATAGTAAAAAGGCCAAAAAGAACTCAATCATCGTTTTCTTTCAGCACGCCACTTGTACACTGGTTGACTTGTTGGACAGACAATCTCATCCTCAGTTAGTTTGCGTTTCCTACCATTTTTCTGTTCATAGACGGAATATTCTTTCTGAGAATTCTACCTCAGTAAGAATTAAAAAGGTACACAATAAACTATGCAAAATATCAATACCTGCAGCTCCTTCTTCATTGCCATATCCATGTAGATTTTCTCTAGTTGGCTGAGTCTATCTTTTCTTGCTTCCAACTCTTTATAAGACCGATCTGTTTTCCTGTATAACCAAAGTAACTTATTATCAAGCTCATACGGTAGTAGAAATCAAACAAATAGAAAAAGGGGAACTAACCATAGTAGTACTGCAGACAAGTAGCAATATCTTAAGATATTGGAATTTGAGCTTAATCCAACATCACAAATCCAGTTTGATAAAATGAAAATTACACCCTATATATATATATATATATATATATATATATTATAATTTAGTCATATCTCTAATCGTTAAAAGATCTTCAATACATTATAAAAGAACTCGTGACCTGATTTACAACTTATTTGACCCAACACAAACAATTTAATATAGCCAAATAAGAGAGAACTAATAGCAATCAATCTGACCATAATTGTTATTCATCTCTCTATTGTGGGTTAAATTATGTCAATCATTCCTACCGAAAGACCAATTCTCAATAAAATGGCACTTTAAAAGGCATGCAAATATATAAACAATAAACTTGTCCTTCATGATCGATTCCTCAACCCTAGCACATTACTGCAAAAAAACATCTTAATATTGTTGGCATTAAAATACTTAATAAAATTAAGATACTTAATAAAAAATTAACAAACTTAAAGCACATTGAAGAGAACAAATAATAATTTCACACAACATATTCCTGAAAAAGTTTCAGTAGAGACAAATCATTTATCAACTTTTTTTACTCTACCACAAGACATCAAATAAAACAATTCACCAAAGATTGTCAAGTCAAATCATTTAACAAAAGATGTTTAATCTCATACACGATGTCAGAAGAAAAAGGAATTTATTTTAGTCTTTAAACCAGATGTATGTACCTCTTAATGCCAGTAAGAATATTATCGATAGTAAGAGGAATTTCACTTTTGGAATATCTTGATTGTAATTCTTTAGCCTCTTCCCTATACATGGACAAAAAATTAAAAAAGTTAGCGATTCAGAATAAATTTGTGTAATGAGGATGGGATCTACAGTATAAACATATAAAGAGCAAGAAAGGGAATGGGAGTAGAGGCAGAGAAGCAGTATGTCAATCAACAAATCAGGAATGGAACCACATAGCTGGAGAAAAGTAAACGAGTTTACTACTCAAAAAATATATCTTTAAAACATGACTATGGGACCATTTGAAAAAACTTCTATGAAACTTGTTTGGGTTTATCTTATCATTAACCATAAAAAATAGTTAAAAAATGAAAACCTGAGGTTAGGATCATCTTATAAACTCTATTTAGCTTTATCTGAATTAGCTTTACAGGGAAACTTAACTTATGACATAGCTCTCACATCATAAGCTCTTTTTGAATAAATACTTTGTAATATAAGAGTGTAGCATGGCTAGTATACAAGTAACATATATCGTGTAGTTACAACTGAATGTGCTGTGTCAGACACTCAGTTCGGAAAAGCAGTTAAAAATAGTTACCTTAATCTTTATAAAGACCTACATAGCACTCTGATAAATGAATAAATTATTTTTTACCTCTCTTCTCTGTTCTCCACAAGCATAGTTTTACATTAAGCTACTTATCCAAATTTATGATATATATATATATATATATATATATATAAATAACATTTACTCACTCACAAATGGAAATTGCTTACCAAATTTTTTTTATCATAGCCATAATGTCATATTGAACATACTTTACCATATCAGAAGCAAGTAAAAATTTGTGATCAGGGGTTTAATACAGGATAAAAACATCACCCTTTAAATTTTGCATAGCAAAGTTTTTTTACAATAACCATAATGTCATGTTGAACATACTTTATCATCTCAGAAACAAGAAGGAAGTTGCAAATTAGGGGCTTTATTCAAGATGAAAACATCACCCTTTAAATTTTGCATAACTAAATAAGAACTTTCAAAACAACTAAGTACACCAATAAAATAAAACATATTAACATTCTAAAAAATTAACATGCTGATCACAGAATGATAGCTCAGAAACTCATACCTGTCCTCAGCAAAGAAAACATGTTTGTTTGCAGGTTGATTATCAATAGAGTGTAGCGAGGCAGCTAGCCTTTCAATTTTCTGCAAGGGAGACCAAAACTTTCCCAGTTAAACCTACACTGTCACAATATTTCGCGCAAAAACCCCATTAAAAACAAGATAACAATCCAAAGCAAAGCCCCCACCTTTCTCTCACTCTGAACCTTCTGAAGAATGTAACCCATATCCTGCGTCTTCATAAGCATAAGCTCTTCCTGAGTGTACTTATTTGCTTCACTCCTACACAAGTCAATAAGAAAATATAACAATCACGACCACACCAACAACATCAAATCACAGAAAATCAAAAAGGCCATGTAGCAAGTCATCAATTACTCTGGTCTGTGAACTCCATCAACTATTTTTGTTCTAACCATCTTGAAGTAAAACTCATCTTCATTCCTATTAGCTGCTTTTTCCCTAAGTTTCTGTAAAACAATAAAAGTTACAAAATAGTTTAAATAGAAGGAATGACAATTCGGTGATGAGAGAGTGAAACTGTACCCGTAAAGTATCCTCTTTCTTGTGGAATGCTTTAGCACGTTGGACATAATCCTTATGCTTTTCGAGCAAGCCGAATTTTTTCCTCGCTGACCTAATGGATGAAAAAAACAAAATTGGAAAAAAGTGATTTAAATGGTGATTGAATGAATAGTCATTGGTAGAAAGAAACTCACGGTTGAGAACGCTCTTTGTGCGCACGACTGGGAATGGCGTTTCGAAGGGAGGACATGTTTGGTTTTGGATTATCTTCGTCGACTCACTCTCCTCTGCAAACGATGGCTTTGTTTAAATGGGTCGGCCCAATCTACAAATTTTTCTTTAGGAGGTTCTTCCTACAACACTACAGTCTTCTTCGTGAGCGTCTCCATTCCCCATTTGCCCTGCCAAAAATTTATATCGTGGTAGTTAAAAAAATTTTACTTTTCACTAACGGACGTGGATGTGCGTTTTTCCTGACCTCCCCACCCCAATTCAAAACTGTTAGAATAATTATTAAGTCTACTATGATTAGTATAGCAGCCCTAAAGTAGGTAGTTGTGTGATGGGTTATCTATAATGGGCCTAAAGTAGGTAGTTGTGTGTTGAGTTATCTATAATGGACCTAAAGTAGGTAGTTGTGTGTTAGGTTATCTATAATTTCATCTTCTATTTATTTATTGTATCATATTTTTATCTATATAAATAATAGAATTGAGAAGGATCTCTCTAAGCCCTTTAGAACTATTTTTCTCTGTTTTAGATATCAAGTAAAACAATTTCAGTTAAGTATAATTAAGTTAATAATACTTAAATTTAAATAAAGTTTAAATAAATAAATCTACAAAAAATTAAATTAATAACCTACAAAATAAAAAATAAAAAGAAGACAACTACACGATATCCGTTTTGGCCTTTGCAATTGTCTTCTTCGTTTTTTCACAGAGCCTCATACAGATTATACATATATATACATATTTAACAAAACATGTTCACAGAAACCTACCTAAATATACGTACAAAACCTACCTAAATATAAATACAAATCAAACTAAATCAAACAAACATATAAATCAAAAAAAGAGAGAAATTAACCTGGATCGGAGAAAAATCAACTGCGAACAAAGCACCAAACTCCTACACAGTCCTCCACAGCACGAACAATGGAAGGAAAGAAAATGGAACCAATGGAGGAAGAGAAGGGAGAAAACGGAAATGGGGAAGAGAATGAATGGAATGAAGAAGAGAGAGGTCTTTGAGGGTGGGGGAGAGAAACGGAAGTGGGGAAGAGAAGAAACGAGGAAGAGAAGATACGGGGAAGAGAAGAAATGAGGGAAGAGAGAAGTCTGTGTGGGGATGGGGTGTGTGGGCCGCAGTCAGATGGTAAGGAAGTAGGGTTTTTAGTAAAAGAAAAAGAAGTTAAGAATAGAAGTAATAAAATTATAAAGAAGTAATAAAATTATAAAATTTTAACCTAAGAGAGAAAATAAAATAAAATAAAATGGGGGTGACGGAGGAAGAAGGGTGTGATGGTGCAGTGAGAATCTTTTTTTTTCTCTTCACACGTACTCTTTTTTTTTTCATTCTACTCGTTAGATTCTATTCTCATATTAATTATATAATTTAAAAATATACACTAAACTTTTAAATTATATATATATATCGAATTTTATTTACATATTTTTCTATATATTTTATTATATATAATTAAAATAAATACGGATATTAAATTATAATTTATTAAAATAAAATAACTTATAGAAAAAAAAGTGTGAACACGTGCTACAAGTATATTTTCTACCTACTAGATACATATTATAATTTATTTATATATATATATATATATATATATATATATATATATATATATATATATATATATATATATATATATATATATATATATATATATATATATATATATATATATATATATATATATATATATATATATATATATATATATATATATGGTACATTATAAAAGAACTCGTGACCTGATTTACAACCTATTTGATTCAATACAAACAATTTAATATAACCAAATAAGAGAGAACTAATAGTAATCAATGTAACCATAATTGTTATTCATCTCTCTATTTTGGGTTAAATTATGTCAATCATTCCTACCACAGACCAATTCTCAATAAAATGACACTTTAAAAGGCGTGCAAATATATAAACAATAAACTTGTCACTCATGATCAATTCCTCAACCCTAGCACATTAATACAAAAAGCATCTTAATATTGTTGGCATTAAAATAATTAATAAAATTAAGATACTTAATAAAAAATGGACAATCTTAAAGCACATTCAAGAGAACAAATAACAATCTCACACAACATATTCCTGAAAAAGTTTCAGTAGAGACAAATCATTTATCAACTTTTTTTAATCTACCACAACACATCAAATAAAACAATTCACCAAAAGATTGTCAAGTCAAATCATTTAACAAATTATGTTTAATATCATACACGATGTCAAAAGAAAAAGGAATTTATTTTAGTCTTTAAAATCATATGTAGGTTGTAAGACCCGAGAAAATGTAGAATTTATAAATAAGACTTGAGTATATTTTATTAAAATCTGTATGAATTCACAAGATGTTGTGTAGTTGAGTTGGTGTGCAAGCCTTGAGTAAAACATAAAGTTCTATGTTATTTGTTTATTTTGTTGATATAAGTGTAATACATGTTATTGTATGATTAATTTATGATGTCTTGCATTTTCAATGTGATGTATTCGCTTGTTGGTAGAGATGTGTGTCTAGAATTGAATGAATATGAGTTTAAATATTAGAGAGATTGGTTTATGAGAAACTTTTATTTTATTTTAGTTATATTTTTGTCTAAGGACAATAATGAGATTTTAAAGACAGTAACTCTTAAGTTATAAAATATTTTAATTTAAAAATAAAATAATAATTTAAAAAGAAGGGAAGCGTAGAAAGAAAGATACATAACATTTGAGAGAAAAGAAAAGAGAACACGGTGAGACAAAGAGATTAAAAAAGAGAAAAATATATTTTTAAGAAGATAACAAGCGTATGTCATTGATCGATCTTCATTCTTCAAGATTTATAATAGACTAAGATATGAAAAGCTTATTTTTTTTTCTTTATTGTGTGATGAATATGAACATTTTATTGAGTATATTTTATGATCATGAAAAAACTACCTTTGCATTTAAATGGTAATTAATTCATTCAATGCTTACATCATGATTGGATATTTCTGATGTGGTAGGATGATTTTTGAATTTTTGGATGATACTTCTAATCATAAATAAATGACATTGATTATTGCGTATTATTATGTTAATATCCATTTGGATTTCAATTCTATAATTGAATTCACGTAATTGAATTCTGTAGCATAATTCTGTAAATTAAGGCTTCTTTTATAGATATAATAAAATGGAAAATGTTTCTTTAACAACAAATTTTTGCCAACTATTTGACAACGCCACATGTCGCGAAATAATTGGCTTAATTTTTAAATGGAACCGGCTTGTCTAGGAGGTCGTTTTTGGAAAGAAACATATTCAGAAACCCTTTTTGGTAGATTGACTCTTCTTCTTTCAAAATTTAACACATTTGCGAACTCGGTCTCCGTTCTCTGTCACTCTTTCGATTCTCCAGTGTGAGTCTTCTTCTTTCAAAGTTGAGCACTTTTGCGAAGTCGCTCTTCGCTCTCCGCTCTCTTGAGAATCTCCTTCAGTCTTTTTCGACTTTCAAAGATTATTCAAAAACACCCGTATTGTGTTTCCGCATTGTCTGAGTTCTATCATTTCCCCCTATTTGAAGGTTCGTCGGTGGTGACGTTTTGGTATTTCGTACACACCGGCGAGGTGGAAGTTGGTTTTCCGCACACACCGGCGAGACATGGATTACTATGTTGCTACTTTACTATTGTAATGTTTTTAATACTCAAGTGCTTTGTGGAAATTTAAAGTTCTCATCATGAATGTATACATCAACCTTTTGCGGATTATTGTTGATAAATACGTACTTGAATAAATCAAGTTCTGTAATAGACTTTTGAACAAAAAAATCGACTATAAAACATTATTACTTTTATGAATACTGGGGTGCCCAAACATGACTTTCCAGCCTCTACTCACACTTAAACACTAAAATTAACTGAAAACTAGTGGATTTATGCCAAAAAATTAAAAATTTTAACTATGGTCACCTAGGTTACCACAACTAACTCCTCTAGTACAAGTTTCTGTACAAATCCTAGATTTTGTTCGTGTAATCGTTTACCAAGCATCTGTAAACGATTACAAGTGTATTTTTTGGTGCAGAAGTTTCAAGACTTCATCTAAGTTGTTCATCTCATAAACATTGTTCATTTCCTTAATCATGGGGTGCCCAAACATGACTTTCCAGCCTATACT